GGTTGTCTTTGGCCTTCGGCATATTGCACCAACGAGGTGTAGGAATAAACTTATGTTCAAGTTGAGCATTAGCCATTTCGAAATCGAATGTACACTTTCATGCTTCTTCTCATTACATGTATATATCCCCATGTAATAAGAGGGGAACTGATCCAGAGCGATTAATGTTTCTCGCCAACAGTCTAATTACCAAACCAAACTGCACGCTTGTCGGTATCTGCTCCCTCAACCGTGACGGACACAGGGACTGGGCTTCTGGCCACCTTGACAAAATTTCTTCAACCCAAACAGCGGGACATTAGGAAGGGTGGATGCTCATCAGATGCTGTTACATGTATTTGAGAATACCCCCAGTAGTTCCTGTCTGATTGCAATAAAGTATACAAGCAGTGTATATGCTTTTCGGATTTTTTAATGCATAGATGGCATAGTGACTGATCCAATTTTCCAATTTGATCTTATTTCTGTGTTTTTTTACCTCGACATTTAATCATGCCATGTAAACATATGATGTCTATTACATATTGTATTTATGACAAATGAAAATGTACTCAGGTATATACAATTTTAATTTCAGTACACATCCAATGCTTATATGTATTTCTTATGCAACAATGAAGTTCCGTTCGAATCCTCCAAACAGTGTCGGCCCATAACTTTTTTCAGGCAATTAACATTGCATGCAATTCAGCGATTACTGCCCCCTTTGCTGTAACCAGCTGAGTGTTTGGTGGTATAAACCTACACATGTTAATTGTCATCATTCACTTGATGGTCAGTTAATGAATTTATAACAGGTATGATGGTAATACCACTCTGGTTACCCGCCAAAGGTTCCCATTTCGCATTTCGTGTGTCTGGAGTAAATACATCTACTCAGCATTATGAATTAAGGTCTGATGTGACAAATGTATTACATGTTATGCAATATGCTCATGGAACTGCAGCAAGACGAATTATCAGCTGAGATACAAAACAAACATTGATCAAAGGATTAACCGATAACACGCTGATTGATTAATTACTTTTTTCTTGCACAGCGGATTTGTCAAAAGGTAGTGTTTATGTATGTAGATTTACTAATCTATACTGATTACACCCTGTCCTGTACCCTGTGCCTGTGTAAAAACAACATCTTTCCTTCAATGTATTAACAGCCAGTAAGTTGATGGCGGTGTTCCTCTTTTACCAGTCGGGCAAGTTGTTTATTTAAGGCGTAAGAGGATCACCAGACCATGTTAAATAGCAAGGCAATGGTACGGGTGGGTGGGGGAGGAGATGACCAAGCCAAGAAAAACACAAGTGGATTAAATGCTCATTATTGGCTAATTAAATTACCTTTTTAAAGAATGGCGGACATCATGCAATTAGTTGACCAATGAGATTATACACCAATGTGAAAACTGAATCGATGTATCCCTTTTTCAGGTATTAGACTGTTAAAGGACACTTGACATGGAACAGGATTCTTTGTCAGCTGCAGATCAATGGCATATTGTTCCTTTATGTGGAGGTAGTGTCCCATTTTTGACAGCGTCTTGGTCACTGATTCGCGAAGTTTCGCTCTCAAACATGGGATAACTAGCTGCACCAATTAAGGGTACTTATGTTAATGCAATCACCTGAGAGAAGTACAGAACAAGTAAAATTCTTCAACACTAATACGAACTAATACGAGACGAACTGCCAGCAGGAATGGTACCTTTATATGGAGATGTCAGTGCCTGAAAACAGCCTCAGTCACTACAACAGCAGATGGGACTGTTGTCAGAAGAGAGGACAAACAGCATACACATCCAGACCAAAGCTCTATTGGTTCCTATATCCTTACCAGTATTGTAAAAAAACGGACACGAGAAGAGCTGACAAGTGTACCAGAGTTCATTGTCAAAATTGGGATAACTGGCTAGATCAAATTTGAGGCTGTCAAAATCGGGAATAAACCTATGTGGATATTGATGGATACATTCCTCGAACAAGGTAATAACCTGACATTGTTGCAGACTTTAGTCGGTTTTATTTCTAATATTTGTATTTTGTTTTTATTCATTTGCGGTAGCATTCAACAGAATCATTTGTTTTCGCCGTAATGAGACAGACAACATACACTAGGTCATACCTAGGGTGTGTGTGAAATATGATTCATGTTGGCATTCTATAAAATGTCTAGATATTACAGTCATGTTATAAATACGCTATAAGTATAATCGCATGCTTTTTATTAAGTTTCAAAATGCATGCAAATATGGCAATATAATAATTAGGATTATAAGACAAAATATATAGACATATGTCAGGGTAGAGACTGCGATCTGGTAGAATCGGAGATTCTACCAGTAGAGATTGCGATCGGAGTCTCTACCAGTAGAGACTGCGATCGGTCTCTACTGGTAGAATCTTCGATCCTACTAGTAGAGATTGCAATCGTAGTCTCTACTGGTAGAGACTACGATTATATGGAATAACCTATGCGATCGGAGTCTCTACTGGTAGAATCTCCGACGATTTAAAGCCCTCAAATACGTTTCAAACACCCCTAACTCTGAAACCAACCGTCCGATTTCGACCAAGTTGTTTGTACCAGTTGCGCATGCGGGTTGCGCAGCAAAGGTCACGAACCAATCGAAAATACTGGGATATCATCCGGGTACTCAGGGGAGAAAAGCAATAACAAAAGCAACAACCAGTGCGCGGAAATTGCTCTGGATCAGTGCCCTTTTAAATGTGTTTACCATATGATTGTTTTGATCATGTTTTTACACGGTCGGCTTCAGTGTGCGATGTGTTCACTTCCATCAACCACCAGCTTGTAATAACACGTCACATGAGAATAGCCATGTGCTAAAATAACACCCAAACTTTAAAGCGTACCCCTTGTCAATGTCCTCAGCCTTATAAGAATCGAAAGGTCGGCTTCCTGAGTCGACATCTCAAACTATGGTATGTAAGTGGTAATAATTCCTGAGCATTAGAGAACAGATTGGTTTGTTTGAAATTCAATGCTTTTCATAAACTAGAATCTGATAAACTATTTGTCTCTGGAATCACCTGTGATATGAACTTGTGTAGTGATTTCTCTAGAAATTATTTAACGTTATCTAAAATTAAACATTTAGTCACCTTTTATTGTATATGACCAAATTAATTAGTTACACTATGAAGTTATTAAGAAGGAATTCATTTGGGTTCTTTTTGCCCCAGTCCGCCTGTGTGTGGACAATATAACCAATTATCTATTATTAAGTTCATGATATTTCGTGAATACACCAACTGCATAACACCGTCTCTGACCACAAACCCAAACGGGTTGCTCTCTATTCGTCTACAGTCTTAAAACAACATTTCATGGTCTGTTGACTGTTGATTTCGCAATGATAAACCACCCAAACGGTCCATCCCTTGTGTCAGGTGTTAATTAGAGGGTACCATTAAAGAATGTATTCTACTACAATAAGCCTATTATTCCCTGGCAAGGGTTCACTTTTATGACATGTAATAAACCATGGCCAGTCAGTCAGTGGGTCCGGTAAACTTTTATTTAATCAATGATGTAACGTAGGTCTATGTAATTTGTGTTTATGCAAACCATGACAGGTCAAAAACTATTTGCGCTTTTGTGGATAATAAGTAAACCATACACTTAAAACTGTATTTTGGAAAATGCTAGCCATATCAGGGCAAATATGACAGTTAATGTCAATTTTTGACACCTAGAACAACAAGGATGCAGACGAGAGAAGTTATACCAGGAATAATCTACAACGTCTTATAGACTCCCTGGTTATAGTTGCTCGCATAGGAGGACGAATACACTCCTAGGAGGACGAATACACAGTCTATACACTCACGGGGATCCTTGGGAAAAGGAGAAACTGAAAGAAGTAGTGGTAAAATCCTTCCTAAATTTCCAAAAATTTCCAAGCCTTGGAAACATTATCTTTCCAATTTTGGAAATTTTTGGAAATATGCTATTTCCAAATTGGAAATTTTTGGAAATCACCATTTTTTTTCTTGTGGCACGGGTTGGACGTCCAGGTACACTGACACCATTCACATAGAGACTGACAGTTTTGAGCATGCTTGATTGAAAGTTGAAAGGATTCCCATCATATTCCCCATTCAAATTCTTGCTTTCCACAAAGCCAATGATGTAGCGATTAGCAATGGGGTTGGACACATTATCAATGGTATGCGTCAGTTGAGAAACGGGGATACTGTTGACCTTGACCTCAAACTTAGTGAAGGGGTAGAGTGCATTGGAGTTATTTTGGAACAGGGTGTTGTGAGCTAGGATCAGTGCCGGGTTGACTTTGAGTTTGCATATTTGGAGATATGCATCGAGTATACTCTTGTTTAGCTTTACCACTCATCAAACAGAAAGCAGGTGATGATCTGTACAATTTCAAAGTCAAATCTACTCCATTGATCAAATGTCTTTTCATGCCAAACACATCTTCATACAAAGGTCCAGACATGCTCAGTTCTTTGCTTTTCTTGATAAAGTTACCACATGCAGTCAAACCATAATTGGTTCCAGTGACAGAATTGGTTGATTCAATGGCACCATTGTTTTCACCCTCATCTTTGTAAAACAGCTGTAATGTCATTTGGGAGTTTTTGGCATCAGCTCCATAGTTAAGCAATGTCACTACACAAAAATAAGTTTGTTTCCGGAACACTGAAACTGAGAGGAAACGGCATGGAAACCACCATTTCCAGTTGGTTTCCATGTAGTTTCCTAAAGTTTCAGTGTGGTTTCCATGAAAACTGAAACTGAATTTTGCACCATTTCCGGATGGTTTCCAGTGCGTTTCATTACCCACTCCTCCAAGCAGGATCAGCTGGTTTCCATGTTTTAGTTTTACTGTAGGTTTCAACCTGGTTTCCATGTTTAGTTTATTGTAGGTTTCAACCTGGTTTCCATTTTTACGTTTATTGTAGGTTTCAACCTGGTTTCCATTTTTAGTTTATTGTAGGTTTCAACCTGGTTTCCATTTTTCGTTTATTGTAGGTTTCAACCTGGTTTCCATTTTTTCGTTTATTGTAGGTTTCAACCTGGTTTCCATGGTTTTGTTTATTGTTGGTTTCAACCTAGTTTCCAGGTCATAACTTTCATAATACTTTACCCACTCCTCCATTTAAGCTCCTGCTGCTTTCCATGTGTTTAGCATATTGTTGTTTCAAACCTGGTTTCCATGAAACTGAATGCTAGCTATTTACCTGCTCCCCCAGGTGTTTCATGTATCAGATAGCAAATCAGGTATTTTATACAATTGAATAATGGTAAAACCTTTAAGATGACAAATAACAGAATAGAACACAAATGAATGAAAAGTTTATTAACAGTCAACAAATCTCAACAACTATGCCCCCATACATTAATAAAGCACTAAAATATGTAATTTTAAAACTCTTTGATTATGAACATGGTTAATTAATTATGTATCTAGCTACATGTACATAACATCAGGGACATAAGAGTAAGTGAGTAAAGTTTTCCTCCGCTTTTAGCAATATTCAAGCAACATCACAGCATGGGACATCAGAAATGCGTCTCAGGAATCAAAATCAGCAGTGTTGTTCAGCTGGTCTTCTTCTGCTGAACTTTTCACTGCCCAACTGGGCATGTCCAGTGGCAGATCAGCGTGTTGGACTTCAGCGTGTGGGATGTCTTCCCACATCTTCATTTTTTCGGCCCCTGGCAGTAGCCTTGAACAACCGCTGGTTGTCCAATTGTCGCTTATATGAACAAAGTTTCTTGCTTTCCCACCAGAAAGCAGTTGACAAGAGAAGATTTTCATCCCCTTCGTCTGACACCATGGGTGATGTCAGCTCTTTCCTCAAGAGAGGAAGAACTTTCTCCTTCTTCTTCTCCGGCCAGTCTATGGTTGCAATGGCCTTCAGCCTGCTTTCCAGTTTCTGAAATTTAGAAAACGATAAACAATCAGTACAAACAAGCATTCGTCAACAATATCCGTAGCTAGAAAAAAGAAAACCACCCAATATTGCTGTAGGAAAACTAAATTGAAACTACTGTTCTATAAGCAAGTAGTAATAAGAAATCTAACTAATCACCTGAAATGACCTGTAAAGGGGCAAAGATTTCAATCACAGTACAACTTAATGAAATTTGAAAGAGTACAGACACAAGTGAGAGAAGGACATATTTCCTTAGCTTGGGTTGGACATTTCATGACTGATTCTCTTTCAATAAATTATAAATGTGACTTATGGGAAACTGTCATTGCCTACTTATCTGCAAAATGTTCCTGTGAAAGCCATCTTATCTTCTGAATGTTGCATAAATCATGTTTAGATATTATGCGTATAGAACTATGAATTACCCATTATTGTGTCAAAGGAAACATATTTTCTTACACAGTTGTTTTTTGGTCTGAACATTTCACCTTGAACACATCAATTAACAATTATTTATTAACACCACCACACTTGTTAGTAGCTGCAAATACATTAATGTGAGATATAAGATTGAGGGGAACTCCCATTCAGTTTCTAGTCGACTAGAATGACCCCACATTTAAAAACAAAACTATACACTGGCGCTTTACTATTTAAAACTTAATAAAAGGTTCATTTTGAAAGTCACAGTACAATAAAAGAAATTACATTTACTTCCAATTGTTTCCAATCAAGTTTATGTTAAAACTTTAACCTGTGTAAGATTAGAATTTAGAATGATTAGATATTCTGTACTTACTGATCTGACCCTTTTGCTGTTCTTAGCAGACAACCTGTGGGCCTTTGCCTTTCCACTTTGTTGTCTTCTCAGGTCATCCCTCTTGTTGGTCCACACCCGCCAAAAGCTTCTGAAAGGAGATATGTATAAGTAGAAAGTATTTCCATTTGGATGTTAAAAAATAGTAGCTGTTTTTATGCATTTTCCCGATTTATAGGATTTACATTATTTTATTAATGCAAAGATGCATTGACATAAAATCAGAAATGAGATGTGTTCATCTGATAGTATAAGTATCTCAAAGAAGGTATAGCTTTTGAATTCAATAGTGGAAAACAGTTGTGCATTTTATAGCTCCCTTTATAGCCAATGGTTCTTGAGAAAAGTCGAAAATGAATAAAGATGACAAACAGATGCCCTGCCATGCCCATCCATTTCATTCCTGGCTGATAAGGTCAAAAGTTGGGTGATAACATTATTCTAAAATAGTGTGCTGAATAGCTATATGATGTCATACCTTCACAGGTACCAACTGCCCAACCCTGGTCTGCATACAGCCTTCTGGTCTCCTTACTACTCTCTTCACGCCTTCTTCATCTTCTTCTTTGCTGCAAAAGTAACAGCTAGTATGAAAGTGATTATTGATCATTTAGTCAAAATATTTGAAAGATGGCTTAGCATTTTGAGTACTAGTGAAGACTGGGATAAAATAACTTTATTTCACAATAACATTTTAAAGAAACAATAATATTTGAAATTATATTACTGAAATAATATGGCTGTGCATTGTAAATTCTGTAGGGAGGATTACAAAATGACATGAATGTAGTGCTAATACACATATGAAAAGATGTTCACCTTCAACATGGCCATAACTTTGCTGTAATTTCTTTTCATGTACACAGAATTGTTTATACGTTGGTCATCGGTCGCCTTCTTCAATTTTTCCACCACTGCCCTAATGGATTGCTGGAAATGTAGAAATTAATCGATTAAAGAAAACAATAAGGCAAAAACAGAAGAATAAATATCAGTAGAATACAATAATATGAAAAGAAACCAGATATGAATAATTCATATATTATTTTAAATTGACAATGTATAAGTGTATCCCTATTAATAACAACTTTATTATTAAACTTTCTATGCAAACTTTTCTGTGAATCAAACATAATCCACATCTCTTCAGATAAAATTCTTGACATAAGTGCTAAAATTTTTACATCAAATAATTTAGTTAAATTACATTATACATTAATAATATCTTACTTAGTTTGAAAACCCTTTTCCAAATCAGTTTCCAAAAATATTGAATTGATAATGTATCCACTCAACACCAATATAGTATCATATATATATATATATGTACAGGTATACAGGCATATATATATACATATGAAATTGTAACTAACAAGACATAGAATTTTTGTATGGAAGTGTTTGATTGTTATTAAACAATCTGTAACCATGCACCAAATTTGGCCAAAGAATTCTATAAATACAAAACGACTGGCTATCCCCACCTGTATTGGTTCAAATATCAAAAGCAATTTTCAATAACAAACTTTAAAAGAATTTCCAAACACTGGTTTTCTTACATAAGGAAAATATTCGTATTTATTAAATCTAAATACGTTTGGAAGTGATCTTGAGTCTTTACAACGTGTCAGTAATATCGCTGGATATATATGTGGTCTATATATTTATTGCAAAACATAATATTTCATACATTACCATGACGGAGCACTGGGTAATAATAATGTCCTTGCCAAAATGTCCACACGCATATGCTTGTCGAGTTCCATCAAGTCATCATAATATTTATTGTCCTAGTTATTTATTTACGATAAACGAATAACATTCTATTGGGAAATGTTATATCAAGAAACTTTCACTGTACCTGACAAGGTCGTGGGACGTTCAGTTTCTCTCTCTGTGATCGACGACTGCTGCTGAATACCAATTCGCGTACACGAACCTCCAAAGCTTCCAGACACACTCTCGATGCCATTTTTCTCGATTTAGATAATACGTACAAGCGTAGGAACAATCAATTGTGTTGAGTTTCTTATATAGCATATAGTATAAACGGGTGCCACAGATTAGGGCTACTTTCAAAACAACTCCTGAGATCAAGAGACAAAATGGCGGCAATATTGAGGGTTACGAACGGGAATAGGGGCATTGTGGGTAATAACAAATACGTAATCCTTTTTCGATTGGCAGGTATGAAAACATTATCTAGACCCAATTTGGTTGTGATTTCAAGACAAAAGTTGAAAATGACCACTTTGGCACATAAATCGTTGTTTTGATGAAATCTCACGAGTTCGCGTGCCCACCGACTCATTATTTCCGGTTTCGTCTGTCAACACATGGTTTCGTCTGTCAACACATGATCAGGTAAGTTCCCATTGTTTTTACAGCTATTTCATTTTGATAATAGGAGCCCCTTAAGACGAGACAAGCCCAAGGAAGCCGACAAACGAATCCCGACACTCAATTGACCTGACACTGATTATTTGTCAAGTTCTTTAACTCAGTGTCAAAGCATACTAGCTATAAACGCTTTTACTGGTAAATGTTACTCACTTTAAACCCTCAACTACCTCAATTCATAGTAAATCTTTGATATTCTGGTTATTGAGAAATCCCATCATGTATGTACCGGGATGACGATCGTTTAAATGACAATATTGTTACCATCCCAAATACTCTTTTCATATTCCAAAGCAAACTTATTAGATTTTTGGACGTTTAAGATTCGGCATTACTACAGTAGTATTCATCGTAGAATACCATTCATCCATATATATTAGATAAAATGTGACTTAGAATATTAACTCAATTATTATGATAATTATTATGAAAAATACATATTTACATGAGTGTTTTTTTTTCAATGTTAGATATACCATAACGGTTTAGTAATTCAACTTTCAATTTCCTTTTCAGGGTGAATAAAGTTTACTGTGAGCACTGAAATCAATATGTCTCACGTAAAACAGCATACAATCACAAGAGATGGCTTACTAACAATGGTAAGTTGTACATTATTTCTAAAGACATTAATGATGTTTCACAGAAGTACAAACTCTTCTGCATACACCTCTCCCATACAATATGCGGAACATAGAGTAGGAGTCATAGTCTGGTGACATCATGGTGTTATGTAAATAAAAATTCTAACAGTATAGTGATTTGGTGTCCCGAAAGGATCAGTCCTTTATACACACTCAGCATCTTGGTTCGACGACAACAGCATCAGTTCATAGGTAAATAGAAAGTTTGACCAATGTACCTTTATATGCTGAGTCAATTCACCTTTCAAAATGTTATTCTTGCATATCATTGTTTTATTATGTCATTTCAGATAAAGCAAGTGCCCCATCCTTGATTGACCAACACAAAGAGGAGGTGTGCATCGATACTATCTTTTGTTTTGCATATGTTTCAAATGTTATAATTCAGGATATGATATTTACATATTACTCTATATACATTGAAACCCCGATAAGTAAACTACTGATGAATGGCAACCCTGGTTAAGTAAACATCTTTCTCAATAACGTTATGATGGATAAGTAAAACGAATAAGTGGCAAGTCTGTTTAGTAAACCTTTCTCTCTCAACAATCCCTTCGGACAATTTACAACAGAAATGTGACTATACTCGGACCAGTCCTTGTGGATACACTCAGCAGTAATTACCATGTATCACCTGGCATCAACCACTTCGTTGTTAACGAGCCGACTAATTAGTCTCTTCCTGTATGTTGTTTATTGTCATAATTAATCCTAATCGGTGTCAAATCTGCCATACACTGGATATAACGGATCTGAGTAGAGGGGCAAGTTCAAACAGAGTGCCACCATTGATCACAAAATTGTGCAGTATGGTTGTCACAATCTGATGGAACAACAGTGTTGACAGGATTCCCTATGCTAGCAAAGGAGAAAAGGTATGAAAAGCAACCAGACATATATCAAGGCCGTTTAAACATCTAATTTCGTTCGTTCAAGGCCTTCTTTTAGTTGACTCATTTTCCGTGTGAAACTATTAGTGTAACCCTATAGTGAAACGACAGTGTGATGCTGATTCAAATTTGTGAAATAACAGGTGATATCACATGTACTTGTATATGAAATGTTTTTAATGATGAGTGTTGTTAAAAATGAATCAAATTTGTATATATCTATTTATTTTATTTTATTTTGATCTGCAGATAATTTATTGAATGGTCCAGGTGAAGGGGTCAGGTTGTCGTGATACAATGGGGATACGATGTCTATTTACTTTACTTTGGAAATGTGATACAACTTGCTTGAATGTATAAGTGACAATACGGATAAGTAGCAACTTTGCCATGGTCCCTTGGAGTTTTACTTATTCGGGTTTCACTGTATTGTAAATAATGCTCAGGCATATTAATTTTAGACATGATTAAAACTCTACAAGTCAAGTAAAATCAAATGCTCAAATAAGCCATATATTGCAATATTTCTATCTGTGTGGTAGAAACGTTCTTTGTGAATACAAGGAGAAATTTCTACTTTCTGTAATGTGTATTAATATTTTATAATTTTCTGACCACATTGAACAAATTTTGTATTGTTTCAGGTTCCAGATCTGGTGTTCTGTCCAACCATGTTGTTCAACAATGAATTTTACACCTCGGAAGGATATGGGCAGTGCAGCACCCCTGACATTATCATGGACTGATGACAGATCCAACATATCAGCATCAAGTTACCGCCCAGGAAAGATAAAATACTTCCTGAAACACACAATTGACTGGTACAAGTCATCGGACACCAACCTCGGTTATTTGCCACCAACGTCAGTTTGGCAAAGCAGACAACTAAACCCTGGACCTGCCTCATTCATCCCAATCCAGAGAATCCAGTCTAAGTGTGCCTGGTGCACTGAGAGAGCTGGACAAAGGCCATATTCAATTGTTGTTCCTTTACCTCACCATTTGTATGTATAGATACAAATTGTTTGCGCAATTTTTGTGTATGGTAGTGTAAATATGATACTACCTCATTTCTCTGTTGATAGTGAAAAACAAAGAAAGGAAAGAAATGAAAACGTCTTATGTTTTTGTATCATCAAGACACCCTAAAATATCATGATATTAACCACCGAACGCCCTGCCCAGACACTCCCACCCCACCCCACTCACACACACCCCCAATTCTCCCCATCAAAGCACGATCAGCTTAAATTATATTTGTAAATGACCTCATTATTCTACATAATAATGTAATATGATATGAAAGCAAACCTAAATTTTCAGGAATGGAAACCGACAGTACACACACATAAGCATAAGTTTCTTGTTGGTTTCCATTTCCGGCACTATAAGTTTACAGTGTCCATTCTATTTGGAAACTAGGTTACCCAGTTTCAGTGAATGGAAACCAACTGGACGCCAGGATGTTCAACTTCATGCTAGACCATTACAATTCTTAAGTTACTTGTTCAAAACAGTGCTCAGGAAACCAACATGAAACTACATTTTATGGTTTTCTGTTGGTTTCCATTCATGGAAATATCCAACTGCAATTTCCAGGAATGGAAACCAACAGGAAACCTATTACCTTAGTTTCTTGTTGGTTTCCATTTACGGAAATTCAAAATCACAGAATCCAAAATGGAATCTAGTTGGAAACTCAGTTACTCAGTTTTAGTGAATGGAAACCAACTGGATTCCCCATTTACCTAGTATACATGGTTGGTTTCCAGATTTCAGGAAACCAAGTCATTTTGTAGTGTGTCTTCATCATGCTCTTGTAAGCATAATGATCGTTAGTCGAAGACACCAATTGGTTCTGCATATACACTGAAACTTGAGAAAACAACGCCTGCATAAACAGATTGACAGGTGCCACGTGTTCATCTATATCCAATACTGTGCCATCTGACTGAGTGACTTTGAGTTTCATATGCAATCTTGTTCGCTTCAAATCGCTGCCCGAATTAGATATGTGAAATTCCAGTGGGGAGGAGTCATTAATTTGACTGAGCGGGCATACATTTACAAAATAGTGTTGTTGGATGCTGGTCTGATATGGTCTGATATGAGTGAACAGGTTCAATGAACCCGGTATCAATTCTTCAAAATCTTTACTATTCGGTGAGATGGAATAACTTTAGGGGGAGCTTTTCCGTTAACAACACAAGAAGTACTTGTCATGTGTTTTTTTAAGTAATTCTGCCATTTGCTATAATCAGGGATATGCAGAGGGAGGGAATCCATGTTCAATCAGCAAAGGGATAACGTCTCAAGTGAAGTGTTGTATGAGTCTCCTCTTTCAAGAATGACAATGGTATTCAGTTGCTCGCTTGTATACAGATTTCAATGTCAGGTGACTCTTTGACAATTACATGGATATTGTATTCATTGGCAAAGGAAAAGTTGGGTCCATTCCTCAGGTCCATTTCTCAGGTTAACAAAGGTGACTGGGTATTCCCCACCAGTGAACTGTCACAAAGGTTACACAGTACATCTACATAAGGATTGTTCATATGAGTGAGGTCTAGCTTTCCAAAGTGTAACTCAGTTAAGGACACAACCCAAAATCCATCAAACACCAATCTTTGATTGAGTTTAATGCGAAAATGATAGGGAGTGTTATCCTTGAAATAAGAATTTTGTTTTTCCAAAAAAGATTTGAACACTCCCTTAAACTCACTACCACTATCTACGCGTGCCTTTCTTGATTTCCTTTCTTGAAGTATTTTTTTAAAGGCTTTCAACACGGACTCTGGTTTCTTATTTTCCAAAGGAAGGACAAAGGTAAATCTACTCAGTATGTCAATCACAACATGCAAACAACGTATACCCTGATTTTCTGTGCTGTAGCATATAAGATCAGCAAGGTCCACATCCCACATTTCGTCAATGGAATTCACTCTGACTTTCATCCTTTTAAATCTATGCTTGACAGGTTTGTGTAAACTGTAAGCATCTTGGTTGTTGACAAACCATTACACTTTTCTGAGCTTAACATCAGGTTGAGTTTCGTTTTTAATACCTGTCGAAGTTTGGATGGTCCATAATAGACTCCTGGATTGTGAGGATCATAATAATACTTTTCTAATGCTTTTTCGTGCTTCTCTGTCAATACCCTGTTCATCTTTTGTGAACTCACAATCTACTGAATGAAACCAGCTGTATCAAGCAATATATGACATGAAGGTATAAATAATTATACAACATATACTTTAATTAATAGAATTCTAGGTTACACAGATATACAATGATAGGGATACATTCACAATTATTGAAACCAGCTGTATCAAGCAATATATAATATGAAGGTATAAATAATTATACAACATATACTTTAATTAATAGAATTCTGGGCTACACAGATATACAATGATAGGGATACATTCACAATTATTGAAAGCGATTTTCTAACAATAGCATCTTAACAACACGTTGCTTCAGATCATTAAACCAGTCTGGTGTTTTAAAATGGGTGTCCCGATAGTCTTTACAGCGGTATGAAACTATGTTCACATGATTCAGAGATGGATCATCACTAAACACTTCCACCCATTTGTCAATCACGTGTTCATCATGGAGTTCAGACATGGCAGTCACGAAAAGACGATCAACTTGATCCTGTTCTGACATATCCTTACATGTGTGGATCAGTTCACCCTCGGACTCGAACATACATCCAAAACACAAATCACAGGACAGACGTCTAAGAATTTTAGACAGTTCCAAAGTGTAACACAAAGTGAGCAGATTTCAGCGTGCTACAGCGTCGACACACAAGAACAGTTTTCTCGTCTTTTTGATGATGATTCTTTTTGTTGTTCTAGAATCATCTTGAAACTTCCTCTTAGCATCCTTGACACATTCACTGTGATCTTGAAACCATTCATTAGACTGCATGACTACTGTTTCGTCCAAGCTGTGTGCTGGATGCAGAACCTGCTTCCATGAGTAGAAAGATGCTTTACCATTCAGTTTACTGTAAACAGGAAATTAACACTTTTCAATCACAACATAATTAATAAGCTCTTGCCTGACCTCCATCAAAGCTTTTCCTAACCAGTTTTGTCCCTTCCAGTTAGATGGATTTAATAGCTTTGGGTTGTGAAGAGAGAGTCCAACACCCCACCGTCTACCGTATGGACTGGCTTCAGCTAATATTTTTGGAGAGGTGTTTATTAACACATGTTGAAGAGTGGAAGACTGAGTAAACTTAGCCAGGGTGACTTTCTTCACAACACTGTAGCTCACCACATCCCATTTATGTTGAATAAAGTTTTTGACACATCTACCCAATCTCTTCGGTTGAGCAGGAGAAGAGGCTTTTAAAATGTTTTGAGCTGTATCCACATCACCAAACGTCATTGCCTTCATGTTCATGTAATACTGCTCAGCACAGTTGAAGGTTTTACCATCAAGTTCAATCCTAATAGGAAAATGTTGGCTAAATGGTGAAGATTTTGTGTAAAAGAATACGAACCGATCTGTAACTCTTGTTCCCATGATATCTGTTCAGCAAACGCACACCTTATCTGTTGCTTGTACTCAGTACGAATAACATTTCTGTAAGCAGTGGAAGTAGATGGTTGCGAGCGTGCGCACACCTATCGGTGAATTCAAACCATGTCATTGACTAATAGATAATAATCATCATTGCTTATTGGTAGATTTTGAAAACGTGCTGAGTCATCAGGTTTTTAAAGAATGTAAAGGGATGACTAATCATGACATGGCACTATTCAAACGTTTTACCACTGAGAATCATCCAGTCACGCCGCCCTTTCATAGCTGTTCTATATATAGAGTACACCATGCATTGAGTATCATCCAGTCATGCCATCCTTTCTTAACTGTTCTCTCTCTCTCTCTCTCTCTCTCTCTCTACATGAAGGCATGAGGCATATATATATATATATATATATATATATAGAGAGAGAGAGAGAGAGAGAGAGAGAGAGAGAGAGAGAGAGAGAGAGAGAGAGAGAGAGAAAGAAAGTGATGAGAATACTGAGCGTACAGTAGTACATATATAAGAAGAAGTTTCTGAAATAATCACACGACACGGATCTTCTCCAACATGTTTCACTTTTATCTTCAGGGAGAAGTGATTACAGTTAAACGGATTATGTTATGACGTCACTTTGTCATGACGTAACAATGCAACTGTATACAAATGTTGTGACGCGGCGTTGCCATGACGTCACATTGGCGGCTTTAAATTGACAGTACTAGTAGCACAATGAAAACAAGTATAATTCAGACACATTGCGTTACCTATTTAAAGATGGACACAATTCTTTGATGAAAAAGTTTTCTTTAGCTTTACGCTGCATGGCATCAGCAGTATTCATTTTATAGAAAGGGAATATTTTAAATTTTATTTCCTTTCCTGCTGCGCATTTGTCAATGTGAGCGCTTAAGGGGATGCACCTTGTTTTGGGGTCCTTAATCTGTTGTTTATGGACGCGCATTCTGTCCCTCAAGCACTCCGTTTGTCCAATGTATTCTTCATGACACCCTTGGCATATAATAACATAAATAATATGTTTTGCGGAGCAGTCCATGTTAGAGCGTACATGAAATAATTGTTTCCTATTTTTGAACTTTATACATGAACTTTCAAGTATATATTCACAAGTTCCACAATTTCCCCGTTTACATTTTGAGACACTGAATTCTGTAGCTTTAATACATGAGTCGAATGTGGCACGTGTCAATATGTGTTTTAAGTTACGGCTTTGGCG